CGGCCGATAACGGCCCAGTTTTCACATCGGCCGAGACTCGGGAGTACACCGAAAGAATGGGGATCAAATTGGTCCCCTCAACACCTTACTACCCCCAGTCTAACGGACAGGCCGAGGCAAGCAATAAAGTAATCAAGGGCATTCTCGAGAAAATGATTGAGGAAAAACCTAGGGCATGGCATGACTTGCTCCCCGAAGCCCTTTGGGCTTACAGGATCTCAAAACGCTCGGCCACAGACACATCTCCTTATGCCTTAACCTACGGTCATGACGCCATCGTTCCAATGGAGTTAAAGGTTCGGTCTCTTTGTGTGGCCGAATAGCCTGGACAAGAAGGGAAGGATTATGCGCAAGCCATGGCTCAGGAGTCAGAAGATTTGGAGCAATCCAGACTCGATGCTTATAACCTAATGCAGGCCCAGAAGCAGATTGCGCCAAGAGCCTATAACAGAAAGGTCAAACAGAAGACTTTTGCCGAGGGCGACTTAGTATGGCGAGCCGTGCTTCCTATCGGGACAAAGGACCCTCGGTTCGGTAAGTTCTCACCCAATTGGGAAGGGCCGTTCATTATTGAACGAATCCTTGCCCGAGGTGCATTTCAATTGAGAGATAGGGATGGGGAATGGCATGACTTGCCAATAAATGGCCAGTATTTGAAGAAGTATACCCCGTCGTTATGGGAAACGGCCGAGAAAGAGTGCTAAGGATTGCAATTGGCAAGTAAATAAAACGGCGGAACAAAAGGAAAGGAAAATCATACTTCATTTTAAAAAGGGACACATTTACAAAGAAACAGCCAGGTCATGGCCGATTACAAATACACATGATAAAAGATCACATCCTAAATCTACGAACAACGGCTTCATGATCTTCTTGCTGGACAGACGGACGATTCACCCCGATGCGGTATCCCCGCCACCCATGTCGTCACCAACCACGGAAAGAGCCATCACTCCGGACATGGTAAGCGTAAGGGCCGTCACTTCGACCGGGGAAAGTGGCCGACACTCTGGCCGTGATGAGTGGCCGTCACTCTGGCCACGGTAAGCGGCCGGGGCACTCAGCCGAATAAACACGGCCAAGTTAGAGTCATCATACCGGGTACTCCCATCTTCATCAATCGCATTGCAGTTTCTCCTCGGCTCCACAGGGAAGGAGGCCGTCTTCCTCCGGGGATGAGAGGGGACCTCGGCCGCATCTTGGTTTTGGCTCACGTCGACTTCCCAGGACGAAAGGCGGTTGGTAGACAGCAGGAGAGGAGGAGCCATCTGGACCAGGCCAAACTGCCAAATCATGAGGTTCAGCAGATGTAGCTCCTTGGCTTTGGAAGGCCTACAATAAGGGCCATCAGAGCAGGTTGAGACAAAGAAGGATGAAGCCCAGGAATCAAAGAACGGCTCAAGAATGTTCAAGGCTGAGGAAACTGGGAAGGTTGGAGTGAGCTTTCGAGGAGCATAAACTCAAGAATTTTGGGAGTGTGAAGAAAAGACGAAGGAGTCTGGGTTTTTATATTGGCGCTAGAATTCGAAAACGAAAGGGCGTGGCTCTCTTGAGAGACGTAACGTTCTGACAAGCGTACTCAAAAAGCACAATGACGTGTCCAAAGCCCAGAGGCCGTCTTTTCGTCTGACGAAACGAAGCGATGCCTCGCGTAAGTCTGGGCAATGATGGCCTGCACGACGTGCTTGGGCATTGAATGCGCCTGGGCATTAAATGTGCCGACTAGCCTGCGCATTTAATGCAATAGTTGTCAATCACTTCAGAAGGAATGCAAAGGGTCCATCCCTTGGAATCCATTCGGCCCCAGCCCATGCCGAGACCGAAGAATCCAGGGATGTGGGGGCAATGTTTGTGCCTAATAAATCACGGCCATGAACTGACTGAAGGAGCCCCTATTCTCGGCCTTGGCATTTGCTCAAACGCAGTGTTTCGCCAAGATATTTGGCCCTCCTGAAGACAAAGGAAAAGTTGCTAAGGCACGATCATCTCGGTCTCGATAATAGGCCGAGGCCGAGGCCGAACAAAATCACGGCCAATGATATTAAAAAATCAAATTATCACGTGATAGCAGGGTCCCATGCTTCATTTAATGAAGTAATGCCTCTGTTTATTGCAGCAAACCCACTGGCCACAAATAAGCATTTAATGCACGAGGGAAGGTGGGAAGTGATTGAAGTCAGGTTGTGGCGACAGGAAATAGAGTGATTAGACGCAGACATTCTCACAAGAATTCTTGCAGCTTGAGAGATTGGGTGACCAGCTATCAGAACAATAAATGTGTCCCCACGGCCAGAGGCGCAGAACCCATGATCAGGGTGGCGGCCGAGATTCACCAGGATTTATGGGGTCACACCACCATACTTCACAATTGGAGTGGTTGGAGTATTCCATACTTCTAGCAATTGGATTTCACTCAAAACACACCAAATGACTCCTCCCACCATATTATGATGTTGCCCAAGTTTTGGGCTCAATCCGAAATCAATAGGTGTAAAAAATTGGACAAATCAGGTTCAACGGCAGTTCGTTCCAAATTGGAGTGGTTGGGGTAATTCATAGTTCTAGTGATTGGATTTCACTCAAAACACACCAAATGACTCCCCCAACCATATTACGATGTTGCCCAAGTTTTGGGCTCAATCCGAAATCTATAGGTGTAAGAAATTGGACAATTGAAGTTCAACGGCAGTTCGTTCCTAACTAGAATGGTTGGTGTATTCTATACTTCTAGCGACTGGATTTCACTCAAAACACACCAAATGACTCCTCCCATCATATTACAGTGTTGCCCAAGTTTTGGGTTCGATCCGAAATCAATAGGTGTAAGAAATTGGACAATTCAAGTTTAAAGGCAGTTCGTTCCAAAATGGAGTGGTTAGGGTGATTCATAGTTCTAGTGATTGCATTTCCCCCGAAACACACCAAATGACTCCTCCCACCATCCCAAG